TGGGAATGAAGAGGAGCAATTGAGGACTCTGGATCTGTACTCCGTGAAGTTTAGAAGGATGAGGGGAATCCGATTTCAGCCTTACATAATACTGAGAGGTTTGAATAGAGTGGATGTTGAGAAGATGTTTCCACTACTAGGAGAGACTAGGACCTGAGGGCACAGCCTCAGGTGAAGGAATGACTCTTTAGAACTGAGATGAGGAGGAATGTCTTCAGTCAGAGGGTGGTGAATCAGTGAAACTCATTTCTACAGAGGGCTGTGGAGGCCAAGTCGCTGAGAATATTTAAGACAGAGATAGATAGATAGGTTCTTTGATTAGTAAGGGGATCAAGGGTTACGGGGAGAAGGCAGGAGACATTGGGCATTGAGAAACATATCAACCATGACTAAATGGCAGAGAAGACTTTATGGACAGAATGGCCTGATTCTGCTCCTATATTTTATGGAGAAAGGCTATTTTTACTAAGATAAGATACAATTTGGCCCAAGTGGACTGGGAGCAGCTTCTTGCAGTTAAACTGTTGAGCAGTAGGAAATATTCCCATACAGACTAAGGGTGCGAGCAAGACTGGAAAACCCTGGATGATGAGAGATATAAAGATTAGGACGAGGAAGGAAAAAGAAGCAAATGACCAAGGGCTTAATGTAGCAGAGTACCTAGAGGAATGTAAAATATGCAGGGGCAACTTGAAAAGGAAACTACAAAAAAATGGGAATGCATGAGCAAACACTGGCAGGTAAAATAAAGGAAAACTTCAGGGTTTTTTAAAAATATTTCTAAAGAGCAGGAGAAAAGCTAGTGAAAGAGTTGGATCCATTGGGGAACGTGAAGGTCATCTGTGTGTGGGCCTGGAAGATGTGACCACGTTCCTCAGTGAATACTTGTGTTGATCTTTACAATGCAGAAGGACAGCCCATGCAGGCTGGAGAACTGTGAAATATTAAAATGAATTGAGACAGGAGTCGCTAGTGGGCTTAGCAGCCTTAAAAATGGATAATTCTGTAGGCCCAAATGAGATCTGTCCAGTCTGTTGAGGGAGGTAAGGGATGAGATAGCAGCCCAAGCAGTAATTTCCAAACCCTCCCTGGCCACATGTGAGGTGTCAGAGGCCTGGAGGACTGCTAACATTATCAAATATAATAACAAAGAGGGAGGAAGGGCAGACCAGGAAATTTACAGGCCAGTCAGTCTAAACTTTGCAGTAGGGACATTATTAGAAAGAACTCTGAGCGATGGAACATATCTTCATTTGGAGCCATGAAACACTCATCATGGATTTGTTATGGTAGGGTTGTGTTTGATGAATTTGATTGAATTGTTTGATTGGGTAACCAATACTGAAGATCAGAGGGACTTTTGTGTGCATATGCACAGATCCCTGAAGGTAGATATATGGTAGCTAAAAACGTATTTGGGATACTTGCCCTTATTAGCCAACGTATAGAATGCAAGATTGAGGGGGTTATGCTGTTTTAAAATGCTGATTAGATGACTACTTGAATCACCCAGTTTTAGGAAGAATGTGATTGCTCCCCATAAAGGTGAAGGATGCTGCCTGGGCTGGAGGATCTGAGCTATAAGGTGACCTGATGGTGTACAAGACTGAGGGACAAAGGGTGGATGTTAGGAGAGATTAGTAGAGATGTCAGTAACTGTGGGGCCTTGATTTAAGGCAGGAGGTAGAGGCTAAGAGGAGAGGGGAGAATTTGTTTACACTTGAGGATTTTGGGAGTTTGGAACTAACTGCTTGAGAGTTTCTGGCTCACCGTTTAAACAGTATTTTAGTATGCAGTTGTGTTGCTATAGCTTCCAAGACTGTGGGCCAAAAGCTGAGAAATTGTATCGATGTGAGCAGATCTTTGGCTTGCATGTACGTGATGGGTCAAATGGTACCCCTCTGCGCTGTAAACATCTATGTCTAAGAGGGCATCTCAAGCTCAGGTCCATCAGCATTGTGTGGTGACCAGTTGCTGTATCTGTGTTGTAAACATGAAAATCTCGTCAGAAAGTTAACTCTGATCCAATTCAGTATGAGTAACCTTGTAATTGCATGATGATTGTCAATTACTTCTAAATAACCTCAGGACTGAAATTTAAGTTTTAAAGTTTCATCTCATTTAGGTTTTAGTTGTTGAAGGCTTTAAAATGCAAAAATTACGAGTTTTTTTCTAAACCTCGTCTCTCTTGCTTTTTTCTTCTGTCTTTTCCTTCATCCCCTTTTAATCACTCTTCTAAATCTGACTTGATACTGAATTCAGTCACTCCAATTTACACATCCTTCTCGGTCCTTGCATGGTTTATTCCACAATTTCTCCACCTGATGGCTTAAGAACAGTTGTTTACCAATCGAAATTAGCTGCTTTTATTTTGCTGCACTGTGAGCTCACACAGCAAATTGACAGTTTAAAATTTTTAAAACTTGAAAATGTAAGCCCGTCTCTAACTAATAGACTCTACTAGATGCCATTCTGCAGCAAACTGTGGCCTATTATTTCAAATTGATTTATGATAAATGCAGGTTCAAACTAGTGCAAGGTAATTTTAGGACTGCTACCAGTGAGTTCTTCATGGTGATCAATGTACAGAACAACTCCCAGGCATAGTAATGGAGGCAAAAGTCGCTGTATCATCTAACAAACAATGGGAAACCACAGTGGTGGAGGAGATGTTAGGATTTTTATTTTTGGTTAGATGTATTGAGAAGGGTTTAGTGATCTTCCTATGTTGTTCTTTGTGTATTTGCCTCATCCTTGGGCTAAAATGTTGAATGTAGAATAGAAATAGAATTGAGCATCTGTTCAGGGTCCTAGCTTTTAAAACATAGTTCATGTTTTTGTTGCTGGAACAATATCAGTTCATCTTTGCAGCCATCAGTTATAATTTGTATTTGCATAATGGTTTCCTCTACAGCTTTAGCTTATTAGGTGCCTGCAGAGTTTGACTGCCCCAGGTCATTATTATATACCACTTATTGGTATGATGTCATTTTAAAAAAACGTTTAGGTTAAGTAATTCCTGTGCTACAGATCTAAATGTAGAACTTATTCATTTTTTTTTTGTTGTTCTGTGAAATGGAGCACCCGTTGTCAAACAGATATCCCACCGTTGTCTCAACATCGACTTGTTAGCTCTTGAACATTGCCCTGGATTGTCTAGAAATTAACTTCCTGCACACTGCTGTGCACAACTCATGAGGGAGGTCATCAGAAGATGATTTGGATTTAAATTTCTTTTGACCACTAAAGAGTGTAGCATTTGTACACTTGGGTAGCTCTGAAGGTGGATGCATTGAGTAGCCCAAAGTAGAGCAGTTAGAGGGAGGGAGCCATTGGATGAAATATACACAAATATTTCCAACCAGAGTTGGTAATCTTCCTGGGACAATGAACGAAGCTGTTGGATTAGAGATACATACTGTGTGAATCCAGGGGCTGAGGGGTGTTCTGTCTCAGCTGATGGTCAGTAATCATTTGTAAGTGTTTTGTGTTCTTGAGCTACTATTCTGCTGACTCATTACATGGACCTCAGAGAGGCAGCAGCACTTCTGATCATTGTTTTTAAAAGTGTTTACAGGGAAATGGACAAATTAGTTGGCTTGTAACTGTAGCCTGAGGTAGTTCATTCTGAGTTTTTATTGTGGTACCGTGGAGTATTACAGTCCTCAAGTAACCTTCAAGTAGAGTATTTGGGAACATATCACGGGGAAACTTCACAGCACTCTGGCTGAACAGTAGAACAAGAGTGGCACCAGGGTATAAAGTTACCAGCATATGATTGGATGCCTGTCAGCAAAATGAAGGCACGTTGTTTGTTGTAATATTTTGATGGTCAAAGTATGATGAGTGTGATACCATCTGCTTGCTTCAGTTTGTGGGTGGGACAGGAGATTCCAATCCTGACTATATCCAGAGGCATTCTCAAAACTTTGAAGTAATGACAACATTAACTCAAAGTTCTAAACCTACATATTGTGACGTTTATGGATAAATAGAATTTTGGATGCTGCCTTATAATTGACCATTGAAATTTTGAAGTTTGAATTTGGAGTGTTGGTATTCTGTTGTTTGTCTGTCAGTCAACCACTTGGACATTTTAAAGATGTTTATCTGATCACAGAATTTTGACCACAGGATTTTGGATTCCACATCCATTTATTTGTAGGTGTTCAGCCGTTGCTTTGGGTTACCAAGAGGCAACACATTAAGTTGCAGATGAGTAAAAGTTTTGTGTTTATGGGTTGCAGAGAATGGGTCTGGTAGTAGGTTACTTCACTTGAGTCACTCTTTCTAAATTTGTTGCAAAGAACAGAATGTCAACATCAAATTGGAAACCTAACTTTAATTAAGCGTTACTGAGCTGAATAAGGAGGCTTTTATGGTAGAATATTGTTTAAAAGAGAACATTCAGTGGGAGATTCTAATCTGCAACTTGAGTTTTTAAATTTTTTACTTCCCTGTTATAATGGACTTTAACCCTGTCTCCAATGAAATATTTTGTTATAATTGGGAGAGGATTTCGGCATTTTATGGTGATGCTTGGTAAAGGAGTATGGTTTGTTGGCCTTTCCCCTGTTTTGGTGGGTATATGCACTGTTTGGCAAGTTTGGAGTTCTTTACAAATTGCTTTTCTGCACTAAAGAGCCTTTCATTTTTCTTCCCTTCCTGTCAACTGCACTGTGGCTCCATTATCCATCTTCGCAGATGCGTGCCTCTTTGTCTTTACTTGGATCTTGGTCTATGAGTTGCCCTCTGTTGTTTTTACTCCTGGTTACTGCGTCTCTGATGGGTTACTTCTTTCCTTTACCTTCTCTAATAGCCTCTCTATGAGCTAATGGGAACAAATGATAATGATCTTTGTGGGAAGAAATAAAAGCATGTTTTACATTTTGGTTAAGAAGAATTTTTTGGTGGAACCAATGTTATTCAGAGAATTGCCAAAATATGCAAACTAGTTTTTAAAAAAATTCGTAATATGTCACCTTAAATTTTGTTTCTAGGCAGCAGGGCTGTCTTGCCCAATCTCCGCTGTAACTGGATTCCCTACCTGAGTGATGGCATCCATTTGATCTTCCCATGTGAACCAGTCCAGAAAGAAGACCTTGTGCTGCTTTAGTTGTCCTCTTTTGAAGCACATTCAGAGTAATGGAAGGGGACAGTGACATTGTACATTGTGGATCATCATTTGTGAAAATTGAAAGGCCTCAACTTGTGGAGAAAAGCAACACCACATCAGAAGTGTGGAGATACTTTGGCTTCCAACCTGGGAGTGATGGTAGACCAGAAAACATTGAAACTCCAGTCTGCAAAATCTGTTTCCGTGTCATTCCAGCAAAGGCTTCAAACACAAGTAATCTTTATGCCCATCTGAAATCGCAGCACCCTCATATTTATATAGAAGTGAAGGGAAAACCTAACCAGGCACCACCAACCACTACACCTTCATCTGGGGAGCCAGGGAGGGAACAGGCGGCCACCATGCGGGAGATTTTTCAGCGAAAGGATAAATTTGATCCAAAGCCCAGGGAGCACAGGGAGCTGACCAAGGCTGTGACTTACTACGTCACCAAGGATAGGATGCCCCTGAGTACCATTTCTAAACCTGGCTTTCAGCACCTCTTGAGCAAGTTCAACCCGAGGTATGAGCTACCAAGCAAGAACTACTTTTCAAGAGTAGCTATTCCCTCGCTTTATGCAGATGTTCGCAAAGTTGTTGAGAAAGAGTTAAAGAGCGGGGATTGTTTTGCTGCAACTGTTGAAACTTGGACAAGTAGAAACAATGAAATGTACATGACATGTGGGGTTCAATATGTAGACAATGATTGGATCCTCAAAAACCATTGTCTGCAGACTCAGTATTTACCAGATGAACACACTGGACAGAGTTTAAAGTGTGCCGTTGAAGATGTGTTGGAGGAGTGGGGGCTAGACCCAACCAACCTTGTAGCCATCACTACTGACAATGGACCTGCTATTAAACATGCCTGTGAGTTGCTGGGCTGGAAGAGAATAACTTGCTTCAGCCAGAACCTACAGTGTTCTCTCCAAAAGGGTCTTGAGGATTCCCGCATTGAACGAATCATACAGTTGTCCCGTCAAATATTTTCTCAATTTTCACGCAGTTGGAGGAGGAAGCGGGATTTTTCTATAGCTCAGAGTCAGAAAGGCCTTCCAAGGAATTCACTGAAAGCGGATGTCAGCAACCACTGGGGGACCACTTTGAATATGTTGGAAAGATTTCTTGAGCAGCAGGATGCTGTCAGAGCTGTGTTAGCTCATGACCATAAAATATGTCGTCTTGTTCCAACATGGCAGGACATTGATGTTCTCGAGTCAATTATAAGTGTTTTGCGTCCTTTTCGTGAAATGACTGAAGCGCTGTCTTCTGAAAAATTCATTTCCATTTCAGCAATCAATCCTCTTATAAAGCACATTTGCAATGATCTCGTGAGAGAGGAACAAGAGGAGTTGACTCTTAGTTTTCTCATGAAAATGCGAATCAAGCGAGACCTTGAAATGCGATATGGAGACCCAGAATTGGTTCATTTTCTGGAGAAAGTTACATTCATTGATCCCCGTTTCGGTCCCACTTGCGTAGACAATCTGGAAAATGTCCTGCAGCAAATTAAAGGAGAAGTGCTTGCTGGAAAAATATCTGAAGAGTCATCATTGTTTCAAATCGGCTTTGATGGCTCAACTGTTTCTCCGTTGAGCTCTTGCAGCTGGTATGATCGAGAGAGCCCAGGGCCGAGTCAGCCAAAGAAGGCCAAATATGGTGGAGGACTTGCCAAGGTGTTTGGAAAGCAGAGTGGAGATGGAGGTGCAGACAAAATGGTGACGACTTCTGTGTCGCTGCAAGAACAGCTTGACCGAGAACTGGATTTTTATTTCAAGGAGCCTAAACTCTCTCTGGAGAGCTGTCCTCTTCAGTGGTGGAAAGCTACTCAGAATTGTCTGCCTTTATTGGCAAAGTTAGCCAAAAAGTATCTCTGCATTTCTGCAATGAATGTAGCATCAGAGAGAGCATTTAGCAATAGTAGTTATGCACTTACTGAGTATCGAAGCAACGTGAAGCCAAAGCATATGGACCAGCTAGTGTTCTTAGCTGAAAATCTCCCATGAGGATAAGATTTTTGAGAAGAACTTTTTTTGTTAAAAATGCAAAGATGAATTGTGGCAACAATAATGGAATGTTCTAAGGATTCTCAAAATTAAATATTTCTATCTGGATCACTTTCGGGTAGATTTGATGTTCTCTGTAAGCTGGTGAGCATGGGGTTAGCCCAGTAATTGTTAAGAATTAACCTATTATTTCCTCATCAACTTGAACGGTGGGCTGTTGTATACATTCACCACTTAGCCTTGCTGTCTTATCTTGCCCCCACCCCAGACCCAGAATTGATGTCTCGTGCTTCTGTGTTATGCTTTATTCAGAATGCTGGCTAAGAACTGACAAAACTCTTGCCCAACTGAGGTGTGAGCAGCAAGTGCCTGACATACAGGCTTTCCAACCTTCTGGATTGGACTTGCACATTGACCAGCTTGAGCAAACCTATTGGCTAATATATCAGTTGCATGTTTGATTTTAAAGAAAATGTTGGCATATATTATGATCTGCTATGTATGTCATTTTTGGTCACTATCATATGATTTAATACATGCTGAACTAATCTGGGAAGCACTGCCAATGAACTTTTTCAGCTTGTTGGGAAGTGCACACTGACACTCCACGTGCACTAAAGCATCAAGAGTGAAGAATGTGCCACAAAGGGGATTAGATATTAATTTCATATCCCTTCTTACCACGTAGTCTCTTGCTTTGAATATTGTAAAAGCATGTTTGATAATGCAATTTCTGAGATACGTGAATAGAGTTCCTGTAGATGGAAGATGGATACTGGAGTACTTTAGTTTATTTGGCTGTCCCACAATATTTTATGCAGATCATTAAAAACCTTGTGTATAATGTACACTTCTTGTCCACTAATGTTACTGTCTATAATACTTTATATGGACATTTGAATGTTTATGATGGAATACTTCAAAGTAAACATTCATGCAAACTTGTATGTCAACATATCTTAATGAAGAAAACTAATTAACATTTTGCCCCCATGGTTTGTTGATGAATCACTCAAATAAAACAAATCTTTTATCAGTAACTGAAATTCCTCATGTCCAAACAAAATTTTAAATGTGAAAGTTAACTTTTCACTACATAATTATTTGAATAACACCACTTATTCTTTTGAATTGTTTCTTGTGTCTTTTTAATACATTAAATTTTTGTTTAAACATCTGAGCCTCTCTTAAAAGCTTAGGTTTGAACTTGTTAGTTGGGATCTAAAACAGTGCCTGTGTTAGATTTAAGATAGTTTCTGCAGATCAGGCACAGGATGTATGCTTAACCTCCCTGGATAATTAAGTAATATTTAAACTAACTATGTGAAATATATGATCAGCAGCTGCTTTGTTTATATCTCAGTAGGGTAAATGTTGACTCAGTAATTGATAGAACTGCCGATATTTGTTTGAATAATGTCTTGGGATCTTTTGCATTCACCAGAAATCTCCGACTACTGCAGTGAGTCTCACTCAAAAGCCATCATTTGCTCATTGTGACACTGAAGTGTCAGTCTGGATTTTGCTGAAAGGGACTTAAACCCATAACCTACTTACTACAAAGTGAAACTGACACACAAGTTCTGCAAATTTACTGATGGATGATAACTCCTACAGCCCTGTCTAGATGCTGTAGACTACAAACAGAAGGGACACAGCACCAAATTCTGCAGCGCTGAACTGGAAGCGGACTTCCATTCACAACGAGCAGCCTTCAACCATCACCCTCTGCTTCCTGCCACAATGCTAATTTTGGGTCCAATTTGCCCAATTGCCATGAAGCCCGTGCACTCTTACCTTCTTGACCAGTCTCTTATGCGGGATCTTGTTAAAAGCCTTTGCAAAATCCATGTAACCCACTAGCCATGATCTCCCCCACCAAAGCCATGCTGACTATCCCTGATTAATCCTTACTTCTCTAAATGGAAATAATTCTATCCCTCAGATTTTCTTCCAGGAGTTTCCACACCACTGATCTTAGACTTGCTAGCCTATATATCCCTGGTTTATCTCTATTGTCTTTCTTGAATAATGGTACCACATGTATTTGTCCTCCAGTTGTCTGGCTCTGGCACTCCCACACCCCTGCACCCCGCCCACCCTGTCCAGAGAGAATTTGAAAATTAATGTCCAGGTCTGTGCAATCTCCTTCCTTACCTGCCACAGCAGCTTGGGATGCAACTCATTGGGCTTTGAGAATTTATCCACTTTTAAGCACACTAATACTGCTAATACCTCCTCTATCTCAATTGGAACTTATTCAAGTTTATCACGGTTCCTTTCCCTCATTTCTGTACCTCTGTCATTCTTACCTATCATGTACACAGACGTAAAGTGCTCATTTAAAACCTTGCCTACACTTTCAATTTGCCAGTTAAGTCTCTCTTTCCCTGGTTATCCTCTTGCCCCTAAAATACTTGTAAAATGCCTTTCGATTTTCCTTTTATTTCACTTCCCTGTATTTTTTCATGGCCCCCCTCTGTTTCCCTGATTTCTATGACAAGTGATTTCCCTCCCCCCAACCCTGGTCCACACTTCCTATATACCGTTAGGGCTTCAGGTCTTCTCAGCCTTCATTATTTGCCATAACTACCGTAAGCTTTGTTGTCTCTCCCCCCCCCCCCCCCCACAATCCACCTGAGTACTTTCCTTTATATCCAGGGTTCCTATGAATTCCCACTCTTTACCTTTGCAGGAACATGTTGGCCATACGCTTTGTGTTTCCTTTTTGAAAGACTCACACTACTCCAGTATAGATTTTCCAACAAGTTGCAGCTCTGACTCCATTTTGACCAGATCCTGTTTCATCATACTAAAATTGGTCTTTCCCTGAATTCAAAACCTTTTATTTCTAGTCCATCGTTGTCCTTTCCTTGACTGCCTTAAATCTTAGAGAGTTATTTATCTTCATTCAATCACAGGATATTAGGTCACTGGCTGGCCAGCATTTATTGCCTGTACCTAGTTGGCCTTCAGAAGGTGGTGGTGAGCTGTCACCTTGAATCACTGCAGTCCATGTGCTGTATGTAGACCTACAAATGGCATTAGGGAGCAATTTCCAGGATTTTGATTGAGTAACACTGAAGAAACAGCAATAATTTTCCAAGTCTAGGTGATGAATGTTTTTGAGGGGAACTTGCAGGCGGAGGTGTTCCCATGTATCTGCTGTCCTTGTCCTTCTAGATGCAAGTGGTCATGCATTTAATGTGCTCCCAATGAGTTTTGCTGGATCTATGCAGTGCATCTTGTAGGTGATACACTGAGCATTGGAGGTGGAGGGAGTGAATGTTTGTGGATGTGGTGCCAATCAAGTTGGCTGCCTTTGTCCTGGATAGTGTCAGGCTTCTTGAGTACTGTGCAGTACCAGGCAAGTGGGGTGTATGCCATCACACTCCCGACTTGTGCCTTGTAGATGGTGGATAAGTTTTGAGGAATCAGGAGGTGAGTTACTTCCTGCAAAAATCCTAGTCCTTGACCTGCTGTTATAGCCACGTACTTACAGGTAATCCAGCTCATTTTCTGTCAAATGATAGCCTCAAAAATATTCATAGTGGGGAATTCAGTGATGGTAACACCATTGAATGTCAAGGGGCGATGGTTAGACTGTCTCTTATTTGAGATGGTTAATGCTTGGTGCTTGGTGCTTGTGCATTGTGATTGTTGTGGTCACTGTTATCAAAGTGCTCTTCCACTGACAATTATACCACTTGCCTGGCTTTGTTCCCTAAAATTAGGTCCACCACTGGCCGCCTCTGTTGTTAGACTTCAAGTGCTGGATCAAAAAGCTCTCCCAGATACATAACGAATTCCATCCCCTCTAAGCCTTTCGCACTTTGTCTATCTCAGTTAGTATCTGGCGAGTTGAAACCCCCTACTATTATTACCTTATTATTTTTACACTTCTCTGAAATTTGTTTATATTTCTGCCTTTCTATCTTTTCCTGGCTGTTTTGGGGTCTAGAGCACAGTCCAACAATGTGACTGTCTGTCTGCTTTTTTAAGTTCTACCCGTATGACCTCAATTGAGGGACCTTCTAAGATATAATCCTTCCTTATTGTAATAATTGACTCTTCTTTTACATCCTTCCCTCTCTCTCACCTCTCGATTCTACAGCCTGGAATATTGAGCTGGCAGTCCTGTCCCTCCCAAATGTCTCTGCAGTAACAATGATGGCATGTTCCCCTTTGTTAATCAGCACCTTCAACTCATTTGCCTTACTGCAAGAGTCCTTGCATTAAAATAAATGCCATCAATCACACTGAACTCCTTTGTGTCATAACTATATATGTTCTGAATGCCAGACTGACTTTCCTTTCCTTTCCTTCCACAATTGTCTGCCCCTTCGCAACAGGACCAACGTCCATGCAGTTCAGGAACAACACATCCGTCTTGTACAGGTCCCACCTTCCTCAGAGATCCAAGAATCTAAAATTCATCCTCCACCAAATCTTCAGCCTTGCGTTCATCCATCCTATCCACTTACTATATTTACTAGCATATGGCACTGGGAAGTAATCCAGAGATGATAACTCTTGAGGTCATGCTTTTCACTGCTGCCTAGTTCCATAAACTTTATTGCAGGACTTCATTCCTGTTTCTGCCCATGTCATTGGTACCAGTGTGAACCACAATCTCTGACTGTTTGCCCTCCCCCTTCAGACTGCATGTAGTTGTTAAGTGTCATCCTTGACCAGGGAGGCAGCACATTAACGTGGAGTCAAATCTGTGACTGCAGAAGCACATGTCCGTCCCCCTCACTATTGAGTCTCCTACCCAATAGCTCTTGCTGTCTGTCTGCTCCCACCTTTTGCAGCTGGGCTCTGTCTACACTCCCCAGAAGAACTGCCACTCGCCATTTTCTAGTGCAGAGAAAAACTGTTTTTATGTGGAATGCACTCTGGAGCTTTCCTGCCTGCCATCTTTCTTCTGTCTGACAATTATCCATTCCTTCCCTGACTAAACATCCTTAGGCTACAGAGTAACCCTGTCTAAAAACATGCTATCCATGTCACTCTGGATGCACTGCTGTACTTCCAGCCATTGTTCAAGCTCAAGCTGATCAAGCCAGTGGCACTTACTGCAGATGTGGTCACTCAGACTGCCAGGAGCTTCTAGGATTTCCCACATGTTGCAGGCTGTGCGACATTTGAGACTGGGCTCCTCTGTCAGACATTTGGTTTTTTAAAAAAAAAAAGCTCTTACCCTAAATTTAAGTAGAAAATAAATCAAGTTTGCAATTATAAAGAAGCTAGAATTCTTGCCTTTCCCTAATGCAGCTCCAGAATAGACAACAACTTACCTACTATGTATTGAAACTGGCACCAAGCTCTTGAAGAGGTAGAGTCATAGAGGTATACGGCACAGAAACAGACCCTTCGGCCCAACTCGTCCATGCCGACCAGGTTTCCTAAATTGAACTAGTCCCATTTGCCTGAGTTTGCCCATATCCCCCTCAACCTTTCCTTCCATGTATCCGTCCAAATTTCTTTTAAATGTTGTAATTGTACCCACCACAACCACTTCCTCTGGCAGCTCATTCCATACACACACCACCCTCTGCGGAAAAAGTTGCCCCTCAGGTTCTTTTTAAATTTTTCCCCTTTCACCTTAAATCCATGCTCTGTAGTTTTGGACTGCCCTGCATTTCTGTCTCAGTGGAATACGTAGTGTGACTGATACAGTTCAAAGGCAGCAAGTATGAGGTGATGTTACACAATAAATTGGTCCCACTGACTTGGAACTGCAATCCGGGGTATAACCGAGGGATTTAGGGAGGCTCGCTGGATATTCAAAGAAGTACCTTGGGTTAATAATGCTGGTAAAACTGGTAATCAAATTCAAGATGAG